AATTTTCAAACAACAATCGCTGATGACAATATAATCATTATTATATAATCAAGTGAAGTAAACTATAATTTCATCAACCAGCTCTTATCGCAAAGTTCAAGTAATTCTCAAATGAGTTTTCTACAATCTCACTGATTTATTACAGAATGCCCTCAAATAGGTATTTGTTCTATGGAAGAGCCAAACACTGCTAATCCTATATGACATATACTAAGGCAGACGTTGTTTTGCCACATAAATTATTTCTATCATAACAATAACACTCACGAATAATATTAATCTTTTGATGCTGTGTACAATATTTTTCCTTAGTCCAGGTTTAGCTTACAGAAACAGTGGTTTTATTACTCGATAGCATGTCATGTAGGTACAATTGTCCGTGTGAAAAAAAACAGTGTTTGTCCTTGGGATTGTTTAATAGTCATAGTTCTTAAATTTTTTTCAAAATGTATAAAGTCATTATTCATTATAAATATACAGTGAGCAGCATATGTAATGGATAAATTCATGTTCTACGTTATTACCCATTTTCAAGAAAAACCCCGAAACACGTCAAATTATGTATTTGAAAAGACACTCTGTGACTTGCTGAAGAGAAACAGTTTTGCAGTTGTTGTTTGTGTTTATTGTTCAGTATTACTTTCAGACAATAGGCTGAAGGTTCTAGCGATATCTCATTTGACTGAACGTCAAAGAGTAGAAGTGTTAATACTACATGTGGGGACAAAACTATAAGTCAGAAGAATGTAAATGAAATGTTCAATAATAAATATCCTGATCATCACCCACGTTAGTAAAACAGAAACGAAATTTCGTGAATTTGGGACTGTCAAAGATATTTCAAAACCAAGCAGGAGTGTATTGATTGACGATGGCAAGAAATTGGATATTTTGGTAGACATCGAGGAGAATCCACATAAACCTACCCGACAACTTGACGCCGATTACAACATAAGTCAAAGTTCGATATTGCGTGTTTTCAAAAGTGAAAAGTATCACTCTTATAAAGTACAATTGGTACATGAACTCAACGATCCAGATCGCAGAACTGAGTTTTGCGAAATAATGGAAGTCAAGTGTCTGCGAGATCCTTCGTTTAAGAAAAATATATTGCTTTCCAACGAGTCAACTTTTTCTTAATGGAACAGTCAACAGACCGAACTGTCGATATTGGAGGCAAGAAAATCCCCATTAGATAATGGGGGCCCAGACTCAATATCCCAGAAAAGTGAATGTTTGGGCAGGGATTATAAATAATCACATAATTGGACCATATTTTTTCAACGAAACATTAACCGGTGAACGTTACTTGGAGTTTTTGACTAATTTTTTAGTTCCAACGCTTTCCAGATAATGATAGGCGTATCTGTCATCAGCAAGATGGTGCTCCACCACATTTTGCAGCTGAAATTCGTGCATATCTGAATGAAGTTTTTCCCAACAGATGGATTGGTAGACGAGGTGCCATAGAATGGCCAGCCCGTTCTCCCGACATGACACCGCTTGACTACTTTTTGAGGGGTTACCTGAAATCCAGAGTATACGTCAATAGACCAAACAATATTGAAAGTTTGCTAATCAGAATTAGAGAAGAAATAGAACGTATCACTCCCGAAATCATTCAAGATGTTGTTGATAACTTTCAGCAATGCCTTTATTATTGTCAAGAAACAAATGGCTGTCAGTTTGAACATTTGATCTGAAGACTTCCATTAGTTGCACATTGATTGCTACCGCTTTAATAAATGATTTAGATAACACAANNATGACGGACCTGTACCAAAGATGGCACCGTTTTATAAAACATTATAGTTATTATCAATATTTTGTAGTGTTTGTAAAAGGCCTTACAAAATATTGATAATAACTATAATGTTTTATAAAACGGTGCCAATTTCCTATTTATAGCAGTTTTATAAACATATTGAAAACATTTCTGGGAGAAATACAGTTTTATAATTTGTTTCTCCGAAACGTTTCCGCAACTATTATAAAATACCAAATTGCTAGTTGGGATGGTGAACATATTTTTCCTACAGCGTTTTCTACATTTCATTTATATGTAACAAATTTTGAATAATTATGCTATCCAAAGATAAACTTGATTTTTTCAATAGTAATTCCGATGAGCTTCCTGCGAGAAATTTTCAATAATACTTAATTTTTTTTCAAGGTCGTTTCGAGAATATATGGGAGAAATAAATTTGACGTTGAGATATAGTCTACAAAGACAACGATTAATAGTGGTAGTGCATCGTGTAAAGTGAGTCTTAAAACATTAAAAATAAATTTATTCGAAACCAACTCATTTTCAGTAATCTGTATTACGAAGAACCCAATGAAGAGAAAGATATCTACGTCAAGTTGTATCTATTACCAGAAAGAAGTAAGGCAACGAAAAGAAAAACCAGAGTATGTACAATCCAAAAGAGTAGCAGTTGTTATTTTTTTTTAATCATTTTCTTCAGGTCATAAAAGGATGCAAAAACCCAACCTTTGACAAGCGCTTTGAATTTTTGGTTTCTCAAGACGAGCTCAATTCCAAACACTTGGAAGTTACTGTGATAGAAGAAAAAATGATAAAAAATGAAATATTAGGACAGGTAAACATGTACTTATGACGCACTGTTTGGAACCTTTGATGTAGTAATGAATATTACATAAATTGACACAATTTTTAATGAAATTTTGGAGACATGTGTTCCTCTCATATGTAATAAAACAAGGGCTTTCCCAAGCACGACATCAGTCCTGATGTCAGCCGCAGTAACAGATGAAACGTTTGAGTATGAGTATGATAAATTGTACTGAAAGACGAGCTCAATTCCAAACACTTGGAAGTTACTGTTATAGAAGAAAAAATGATAAAAAATGAAATATTAGGACAGGTAAACATGTACTTATGGTGCACTGTTTGGAACCTTTGATGTAGTAATGAATATTACATAAATTGACACAATTTTTAATGAAATTTTGGAGACATGTGAATCTGTAATGAATAGAAATGCCCCTATTGAAATATGTAAGTACCATTTTCACTAGTTCGTACTTCCATTGTCTACTATATACAATGATTTGGAAACCCTGAGACAACTACAAAAGAAGAATTAAAAATGAATAGCTGAAAATAACAATTATATTAAGCAAAATAAACCTGAAAAGAAATAATAGTGAAATGAAATACAAGTAAAATAGAACAATCGAACAAAAATAAATAAAAATAAAGAAATGAAAAAAGGGAATGAAAACAAAAAGTTGGCCATTTTTCGCTTGATGATAGGTTTCCATATATTGCGTATTTCTACACTGGCTTGGCTGAATACGTTGTTGGACAACATGTATGCGGCTTCCTTGAATTTTCTCCTAAACCAATGTTCCTCTCTGTGCAAGATCTCAGCTTGGGACCACTCGATGTTGTTTTGATGGGTCCAAACATGGTCTGCTATTCCTGATTTGCTGGTTTCCCCTCGC